GCCTAATGTAAGCAGATATTCGGGCGCCCACTCTGAAGAAGAGTGAAGAGAGTGATAACTACAACCCTCCTCCAGAATCCATAACTCCTGACCAGAAGGTTAATCTGCAGCTTCGTCCAACACGCAGTTTGATTGTTTAACGCAACTGCCAGGGTGCAGCTTAGCCCTGCTGCTGGGGTGGTCGGTGTTGCAGAGGGTATTCTTCCCATCAACCTGTTTATAACTGAGACGTCATTCGAATCAGTGGATTTTGGGCACCTTACACGACGAGCTTGCCTTACTGCAGAGCCAGAAAAAAATTATTGGCAATTTTTAAAACATCGCCATGACTTATGTGCTTCACTAAAATACTTCACTAGATAAGTGTAGCGCACTCAACTACTGTTGAGGAGAATTAGGGATGAAAAACAGTGCTTCTGCTGCTGCATAGCCAGAGGTACGCAGTACTTTAAATGGGGAAATTGTAAAGAAGTGAATGAACACGGAATCACACATATGTTGACAAAAAAAATCGTAATAAAAGTGAGGAGGGGAGAGAATTAAAAAAAAAATTGTTTGAATGCAATGCAAGTGAGTGGAAGTATGCTTATACATGCGTGTAGCGTGCTGAAATTGTATATACATATGGACATATGTAAGCTTGGTTGTGCCCTTGCATTAATGCCTTGAATTTTTATATAAAGTACCGCGCTGCATTCGAAATTATGCGCCTTTGCCAAGGCAATTACGCGCAAAAATCCACGTTCAGTGAGCACGGAGAAAGACACCAAACGAAAAAGTGAATTGTACAGAAAAACTCAGTAGGGAAAATTGAAAAATGGTAGGCAGATTAAAAAGAGAAAAAACAGAAGAACTCAAAGCAAAGTGCAAAGCAGAAAGGCAAATGCCACCGACAATTAGGATTTCCCTATAAGTAAATGACAAAGTGTATGCGTAGCGCGTTCTAGGGCGCATACACAAAGGCAGTCAGCTGGTCGTCTCAAGCAAGCGAGTATAGTAGGTACGTAGAGTGTCGACAATGGCGGCATCGCAAATGAGTGATTACTCAGCTGTGAATATTCAAGTGCATTGAGCGCTTTAGTGCGGTAGTTGGAAAAGCATTTATCACCCAACAGCACCATCTTGAAACGTGACCAACTACAAGATACAAAAGCAACTCATTGACATCGCAAACTCGCCAAGTTACTAGCTTACCAGCAACGAGTGACATTCTCAACTTACAGCTGCTGGTGCTGCCGCCTTCCTCATTTTGTTGCTTGCTGCCACACCGCTTAAGTAGCTCCAGCTGGTAAAATGCTCGTAAATCACTGCTTTTATCTGTGTGTTAGCCAAATTTGTTTGAGAATGCACCACGCCAAGTGTTTGTAAACAAAAGTGTACGATATTCGTACACACACTCACAATTGAGCGCCACCCTGGCGTAGGCGACATCTTGCGGAAAACTGTGCCAACAAAAAGTTTGGAGGAGAGCTTGTCAAACGGGAAATACAAGTGAGCGTATACTAGCTCACGAAATACTAAAATGGGAGTACTTTTGCCAGAGAGCCTTTGAAAATTTGGGAGTTGGCGAAATGGGCGTGAAAAGCGAGAGTTATTGAGCGCAAGAAGCATAGGAAAATCATAGGAGCGACTGAGCGCATAATTAAAGTGCAAACATGAGAAAAGTGCAAAAAATAGTGGCAAAATATGCTTGTGGCACATTCATTGAAATTTATTTGAGCGATTAAATATTTAACTGTCGCGATTAGAAGGCAAAATGAAAGCAGAATAAATGCAAAAACAAACAAAGTAAATAAGCTTCACTTAAATGGTATAAAATTAAAAAAAAACGAAACGATACTAATTGAAACGGAAAAAAATAGCAGGGCTGCGTGGATCGACTCGATGCCGAAAAGCAGAGTGATCAACGCAGCCGTAGTCACAGGGTCCGTGATTAGAAGAAAAGCAAGGCGAACTCCACAGGGAGGGCTCTTATCACCCCCCGCTCTGGATCTTGGTGCTAAATGAACTGCTAGAAAGCTTTAAACATAGGATAACGAAGGTAGTTGCCGACGCTGATGACTTGGATATACCAATTTCCTAAAATTTCTTGTCAACGATTAGCAAGCTGATGGGAACGGCACTAGGAACTATTTCCAACTGGGAAAAACAAAATGGGATAGGAGTTAACCCTTATAACACCGTCGTCTTTCAAAGGAAAACAAAAATTTCGGAATTCGCCTTATCAACGGACGGGACTAGTCTGAACCTTTCCTTCGAGGCAAAATAGTGTGGTATTATCCTGGACTTCAAACTTGCATGCAAGCGCAACGTCGAGGAAAGAGCAAATAAGTTCCCAGCAGCGTACTATGCACACCTGTAAAAGGGCTTCGAGAAAAACTGGGGGCTGTCAATCCGACTGTTTTTAATATATGGAGAGCTGGTTTGGTGGAAAGCATTGGATAAAAGCAGCAATCAGATAATAATTGAAAGAGTGCAGAGTCTCGCAAACCTGGGTATATCAGGCACCGTGAGAAGCACACCACAAGAAGGCCTGAGCATGATCTTTCACCTGAAGCCACTATAAGTATTCGTAAAAGGTGCAGCCGAAATAGGGACTCTTAGACTGAGGAACTCAAAACTGTGGAAGCAGACCAACTACGGGCACGCAGCGGGCTTGAAGGTACTAAGTAGTGGACGACGTAACGGAATCAAGGCCTTAGATGTCGAAACTGATAACCTCACGTACTTTTTCCAACCCGGGAAGATGATCTCCTGTAAATGATGTAAGTTTAATCTACACCTATGGCTCAAAGATGGAAAAAGACGTTAGCTCGGGTATGTACTACAAGGACCTTCAAATAATGTAATTATACTGCCTGCCTGATAGCTGCAGTGTCTTTCAAGCGGAGATCGTTGCCACTGAGAAGACGGCCTGCCTCATAAGGCATAGTAAGTCTCTGTCACGGAACGTCACTATATTCGTTGATAGCTAGGCGGCATTGAAAACATTAGGCCCCAAGGTGATATAGTCGAAAGCAGTTCGGAAATGTCGTGCAATGCTGGCCTCGCTGAGTCACGTCAAAACCAATCTCTTCTGGGTTCCTGGACATGGCAATGTAGAAGGGAATGAAACGAGTAACACACTGATGCATCGATGACATATAGCAAAAAGCTCCTTCTGCAGATGTTTTCGGGATGAGAATGAAGAGGAATCGATTCGCCACTTCTTATGGCAATGTCCAGCTCTCCAGGCACCGTGTCGCAAGCATTAGATGAAAACTAGACCCTTCGTGAGATGCACTCAGCAATTTTTCGGCCTTGGGGATGAGCTAAGTCGTCTTACAGTTTCATAAAATGACGCCTTTCGTCTGTAGCTATTATCTTTCGCGTTAGACCATCATTGTTCTCGGACAGGCGATTACGGGTATAGGTACGGTGACCATATTAACCAACGTAAAATAATAGACATTTTTTCAAAATGATTTGGAAATACGCACGTACAACTTATATACAAGCACCTTAGGCATATCGTAATTTAGATCAAATATTTACCGGATTTCAACCGATTCCAAATTTTATCAAATCATTATCAAAGACTTCATCATTCTTTGCAGCCAAAATGCGATTATAATAATTCATACTACATGACGAAGCCAGCGGAGGTTTGTTGTTCCTTTTCAGTGGAACTGGAAACTCAGCGTGCAAAACGATCCTAGGAACAACTATCCCTGTGCCTTTCTGAACAATGAATTTTACTCAAGGAAAACTAATTATTCTTGGAAAATGTTTAAGTATTAGTTAATTTTTTTTTTTTAATTATATAAATTTCCTCTATCAGTATTAGCAATGATTCGTGATTCATAATCTCCCTATGCGTTCTTCGCACCTTCCCTTAACAACTTCAGGAAAACTGTAATAATGTGAAGGAGGATAAGTGTGAGAACTAACCGAATCTCTCGCAGTATGATGGATAAGTTATAGATTTTTAAACGCACAGATCTGCGAAGATCTGGTTAAAAATGCCGTGCTGTTAACTTTAGCCTAATCTGAGCATTTTGGTACTACTATGGTTGAAGTGTATAAGCTCACTGCAAGGTGAATAAGGCAGCAACGGTGCCTCAGGTCACAGCCGACATTCCGTTTAGGAGTACAGTTCGAAAGCAATCGGTCGGTAATGTCGGCTCGAATTAACAGGTTTTTACTCTTTTAAAAGCCAAGTATATCTAGGGCAGCCTGGAAAATATTTCTTCTTTATTGATAAGTCTCAGTGTGGCTCTTAGCAATTGCAGTTTTTAGCATAGTTGGAAAATCGTCCGAAGGCTTTCCTCAGGTAAGACATCACTAACCTATTTGGGTTATTCATTGAATACATAAGTATCTTAATATAAGCCTATATAAATCAAGTGCATGGAAACGTTAACAACTAGCCAAATAACTAAAGAAGAGCAATTAAACGGTACTTATGTAAATCGAAAGTTCATCCATTGATACTTGCTACTTAATAGCTTTCGCCGCCCAATCAATTCGTATCGCTTACTTTATCAATTGAATCTCGCGCACAATTACACACATACAGAAGCTATTACAAATGCGCCCCTATGGGCAGAGAAAAACAGTTAGATGCATCAACTAGCTAGCCCACTATTTAGCGAAGTTCAAAACCATTTTCTTTCTGATAAGCGCTCAACAACAAGTAATTTACCGTTCATAAGTTCGTACACTCTCCCAATTTGCGTCAAGTTTTCGTGAGCGTTACGCTCATTCTCTTCATCGCTGTATCTCTCTCTTTCTCTCTCTCTCTATCTCCCTCAGCAAGTTAAACTCCCGCGGAGCGCCTGCACTGCGACGTTGGCGCAACAGCTCCCATTTAAGGGTCACACGAGCCGGTTGGTCGCCCAACGGCAGGGCAGATGTGCACGTCGAATCTTTCGCCGATTTCTGTCTGGCGTTTGTGCTCTTATTATCGTCATCTCCCAAATGTACAACCGCTGTTGCTGCTGGTGCTACTGGCGCTCAGCAACAATTCGCACCGATGCACCGCGCGAGTATTGGCTATACAGTCGGTGTTGGCTGCGGACGGACAGACACGCAATGGTAGCATTAACGCTGACAGTTGAGCGGTGTACGTGAACGTGAGTGGACGTTAATGCTACGCCGGTTTGAAGTCGTTTAGTCGTGCATTCGAGCAGATACAAAACGTAAGTATCTGCGACCGTGTTTTTTTTAGATATTTCTCGTGTGACGATTAGTCAGTCGTTGTCGACGAAGTCGCGCCGCGTCGTGTATATGTGAAGTGTGAATACATGCATAGGCAACTTATATGGAAGTGAGTGTGTTTGTTTGGTGGTTTGTTTTTCACCGACCCACGGTTCGAGGGTGAAAAGCGAAAAACTTGTTTGAAATACACATAATTGTGGACAAGCGGAAGCAGAACGTTACGTTTGTGTTATAGGTATGTATGTAGGTATGTGCGTGCGTTACAAAGCGGTACACCAGCCAACATAAAACACTCGCTAGTGTGGAAGTAATGTAACAATTAAAATAATAACAATTACAACAAACATACTTAACATTGCGTGCGTATACTTTTTCGTTTTCCGATTTGCCTTTTGATCCGTATTGCGTCAGGTAGGGTCAGCGCCGCGCTGGTTTTTGCTGTTGGCGTACGGACAGACGGGTCATAAAATCTCGCAGATGTACACTACACACGCCAGCGCTGCTTGTGCGTGTGTCGGACGTGCAGTCGTTTGGACTGTTGAGACAGCTTGAAAACGGGGCGTAGACTCGTGATATCAAAATTTGTTGCCGTATCTATGAGATACACATGCAAATTTTCGTGCGAATGAATTGACTAAGAAGCGAAAAATGGCAAACACTTGGCACATTCAGCAAATAAAAGTGTTTTACTAGAAGTATCTGTAAGATAAAAAAGTATCTGTAAGATAAAAAAGTATCTGCAGCACTTCTTTGAAGCGCTTTTCAACTAAGAGTGCGCAGTGAAGCATTTAGAACAAAAAATTTAATGCCAAAAAAGTTTTGCTTCATAGGTACGCAAACAGTTTGCTCAGCTTAGTTACCGGTTTCGCGTTATCAAACATTTGAGTGCATACACACACACATACACACAGAAGTTAAGGTCGCGAGAGTAAGCTTACAACAAAAATATCAATCAAACAAATAATAAACAAGTTTTGTTTTAAATTTTTTTTTGCTTGCGCAAAATTTTCTTAAATCTTTACTTGTTTGTAATTGCTGCGGCTAAAAAATTGTTCAGCACAATCGGCAAATTTGCTTTCAATTTTATGCCACCCGCTTGCGTCTGTCGCTGCACGTGTATCGCACAGGCAAACAAAAAGCAAAAGCGAAAACAAATATAAACTCCTCAAACTTTCTTGAGCTCAACACAAAAAAAAAAACAGAAGTTTTTCGAGTCAGCCGTCATTGGAGTCACTGAAGCGTTGTTGTTGTAATTTGCTTGATTTTTTCCCCGGTTCGGTTTTTTGCTGCAACTCCATACGCCCGCTGCAGTAACATCATTAAAAAGTTTGCCATTGAAAAGAAAAGCAAAAACAACAAATATAGAAAACGCAACAAACTAAACAACAACAAACAACAGCAACCACCTTTCAATAGGCATCAAACTCGTCGCAGCAACTCAAGCGCACTGCGGCGTAACTCTGATAGGGAAAAAAGTTATAGACAAAGCCGACAAAAAAGGGAAAATTCCGCAAAAAGCGTGCATGCATACGCTTGCGGGAAAGTGAACGAAAAAAAAGAAAACAGCAAAGAACTCAGCCCCGCAGTCATCATCAACTGCCACTGACGGCGAACCAATAGCTGCTTGATTTTTCTTTCACAACGCCTGCACACGCTCCCTGTTGCTACATTTGTATTTGGTGCTGCATTCTGCGGATAATTAATGTAAGTTTTAATGAGCTATTTTCTACACTCTACATTCTACATGCTATCTACCATTTTGACTTTGATTACCAAGAATAATTTCATTTCACTCCCCGCCCCTTGCTGTCTCTCCCCGCCTGCTTTTGCACATCCACTTTCCGCTCAGCCACCTACCTATCTACACCTACGCCTATTCCTCCACCCCTACTAGAAATTTTTATGCTGCTGCTGTAAATCTACTACCGCTATCTGTTGACTGCTAACTTTTATTTATTTGCGTCTCAATCTTTTTTCACGTACACACTTCTCTGCTTCAACTTTTGCATTCGCCTCAGTTCGGTGCGAATAAAATAATTTTGTATTTTTAATTAGCAAAGTTTCGAGAGATGTGCTATTAATGTTTTGTTTCCTACACGCTTTTTGCTGTCTTTCGTGTGCCTATTTTTTGTTGTGTACTTTTTTTTCTAATTTCTATTTTTGCGCTGTTTACGTTTGCCATTATGTAGCTGTGCGAGCAGAGTAGCTCAAGGTTAGCTGCTGACGTTTGCCGGTCGGCTGATAATGTTCAGCGGTATGAAAATAAAATTTGCGCTAATAAAAGGCAAACATGAAAAGTATTTCTAACGCGGAAAGGTGATGAACTTTTTTTAGTTGTGGAATTTTTTATGTTATCAAATTTAAGAAGTTAAAAAGGAGCTTCTACTATATTTTTATGATTGTAAAAGATTTTTTATTCTAGAGAAGAGTAAATATGCGGAATGGAAACAAAATGATAAAAATTAGATGCTTTTAGGAATGGAATTTTTTTAAGAAAAAAAAACGTTTTTAGAAAATACCAAAAAAAAAAAATTACTCCAGCAGATTCCTTTGAAAGAAAATATGTGTATTTTTTGGTAGAGAAAACTCATTTTTATGGAAGAAATATATTTGATAGAAAAAAAATTTTGCTAGAGAAAAAATTAAGAAAGAAATAAATATTTTTGGTTAAAAAACAATGCAGAAAGTAAGTGCATATACATATGTCTGTATGTATTAGTAAAACAAAGCGCCTAAAGAAATTCGTTTGTTAAAAAAAAATATTTTGAGTTAAAAAATTTTCGTAAAGAAAATATTTTTATTAAAAAAATGGTTAAGGCACAAATACTTTCTGGAAAATCCAAAAATTTAATGCAAGCTAGAAATATTACTTGTTAAACAAATTTTTGCGACAGAAAAACTATTTTTGGTAGAAAAAAATACATACTTTTGAGAGAATGAAAAATTTTTGGTAAAGCAAGTATGTTTGGAAAGGTGTTTTAAATCATTTTTGGAAGAAAAAAAATTTTGGTAGGGAAAATGTGAAAACAAATTTTTTTGGAAAGATAAAATATTTTAGGAAGAAAAAAATTTTGGGAGAAAATATGGTTGGTAAAAAAATGTTCAGGGAAGAAATTTTGTAGAAAAAACATACATATTTGGGCAAAATACTAAAAAAGTTAATGCAAGTAAAAAATATTACACAAAAAAATAGCTTGTCTGGTAGAAAAAACAAATTTTTGAGAGAATAAAATATTTGTGGCAAAAAAAAAGTTTTTGGTAGAGTATTTAATTTTTACTAATAATAAATTATAATAATATATATATTTTTGGTAGAAAAGCACAAAACAATTAATGCAAGGAAGAAAGATATCTACATACTTTATGAGAAAAAAATTTTGTTGGCAAAAGAAAATATTTAGGAAAAAAAAATTTTGGAAGAAAATATTTTCAGTAAAACAAATTGGTCATGACAGACATTTTATAGGAAAAAACATACCTATTTTGGGTAATATACCAACAAAGTTGATGCTAGTAAGAAATATTACTCAAAAAAGCGTTGTAAAATAGCTTGTTAGATAAAAAAATATATATATATATACTAGAAAAACAAAAAGCATAAAAAATATTTGGGAGACAAAAATTTGCTTGGTAAATTGTTTCGAAACATTTTTTGAAGAAAAAAAATTAAGTGGGACATAGTTATTTTAGGTAGAAAAACCACCAAATAATTTCTAATGCATGCAGAGATAATACTTTTGAAAACGATTTTTTTGCTAAAGAACATATTTTTGGTAGACATTTTTTTTTTGACAAATGACAACAATATTAAATAAAGAATAAAGTATTAGATGACGAAACTGGTTTGGTTAAAAAAATTGTTCTTGATAAAACAAATTTTACAGAAAAAAGTTTTTGGGTTGCCGGATAACCGGAAACCGAAACGTGTAAAACAGTATGCTATTTTTTACTAAATTTTTTTTTATTTCAACCCTTTTTAAATTTGTCTGACTCAACGTTGTAGGCTGTAATCGCCTCTTTTTTTAAATTACCTCCTTTAAAAGACCTAACCAGCATAAAAGCGTCATACGATTGCAAAAGCCCCATTACTCCGGCCATAAACCATTCATTTCAACTCAATATAAATTGTTTACTTTAAGTTAATTCCTTCTTTTTGTTCAAATATTGACTTAGCTATGCTTTTTCCTTCTATACATGCTAACAGCCGGCTGCATTTTTGAACTCACTTCACCTCAAAACGATACCACTTAAACGCGCGTAGATATTAATAGAAATTATAAACAAGCAATGAGAGAGAGAAAAAAAATTGTAAACAAATATTAGCGGTAAACATTGGAGAAAAAGCTAAAGAGTTGCTCAATACATTCTATTGTGTCTGCCGTGCGTATAGTAAGTAATCGGAACAAATTTATTATCTTATCGCTGTTGTGCCCATTTTTCACCGTCGCTTATCACAAAATCAATTCAGCGATGCGAGTACCTAAGTATCGTATGTAAGTACAAATATTCATATGTATGTATGTATGTGTCCTTGTTGCTACAATGGGGATGAGTAATATAAATTTACTTATGAAGCAATAGATTAATAGATAGTCGATGAACTCTTGTTGAAAGTATAATAAAAATGAGGAAATTTGCCGTGTGGTATTTCAAAGTATTTATTATTAACAGTACTTGGTTGTGATATGCACTTCGCTTATTCGCGATATAAATGTTTTAATTATAGGTAGATAGACTTATGTGTAAGTAGATATAAATTTCATGGCGGATATATGTAAGGTTTACGCAAGAGAATTAATTGTTTGCTTTTAAAATTTTAAAGATAAAAATGCGGAGCACCTCTTTTTGTAGTTATAAAAAATAAATTTTGTTTGCTATTTGTTTTACTGAGGTACTTATTTGGTATTAAAAAATATTTTAAGTTTACCTTTCTTTAACATTATACATATAGACAGCGTCGAAAATATGTATACCCTGACGTTTTGAAGATTTTATTTATTTATATTTTCCGTACCAAATTTTTCTTATTATTAAAAAAAAAAATAAAGTTCATTCAACAGAAAAAACCTCAGGAATACATTTGTTTCAATATTGTACAGAACTCGGGAAAATACAAGAAATACAAAAAAATTCGCATCAAAATTTTCAATTTTTCAACTATTTCTTAGAAAAGATTTGAGTATGCAGTTTTGTACCTCTTTTATCACAAAATTCAAGTTTCATGTCGGTCTCTTCCATATAGCGCATAAACAGAATTTTTTTTTTATATGAGAGAATGTACACAACATCCTCAGCGAAAGATAAAAAAAAAATAATGGTAATTTTAAACGACTTGAAACTTGCACCTTATTAGTCTAAAATTTATTGGCCTACACAACTGCAAACTCAAAATTTTCTAAGAGATAAATTGAAAAATTTAAAATTTATATAACAATTTCTTGCATTTTCCCCAATTCTGTAGTAATATATAAAAAATAGATTCCTGTGGCTTTCGCTGTTCAATGATCTATATTTTAATAAAAAAATAAGAAAAATTTGGTATGGAGAGTATACATAAACAAAGTCGCCAAAACTTCAGGGTATGCATATTTTTGACGCTGACTGTATATCCAATAGTCAACATTTTTCAGTGAAAACTATTTTTGTTTATCAATATTTACACTGACTCATAGAGGAGTACATTTTAAATTGGCCTTACTCAGCTGACATTGTGTATTGGATTTCTGTAAGAAAATAGGCCAACCAGATAGATACGAGTTCCAGTACTTATTTGTTCAAATATACGACTGGACATAACTTAAGTTAACAAAGTGCATGCATAGGATTGAGCCTACAGTATGGACAAAGAAAATGGCTTCTCCGATTAGTGGCGCAATTCATATTTCGCGCTACAAAGTTAGCTAAACTTCTAATCGTAAAAGGTCTTCAATATTCTAGCTGTTGTTGCATAGACTGCACACCTGTTATAGATAAGTCTTCCAGATAGATCCAAGAATTTTGACTCGCTTGATTTCATTCAATCACAAGTATCCAAATTAATCAAAAAAATAAAATAATCTAAAAATACCCAAAAATTTCAAAAAAAAACGTTGGAAAAAATTACAAAAAAAAATCTCGAAAAATTCGACATTTCAGAAATTACTATGTTCTTTCTCCCAGTATAAGAGAAAATCATAAAAAGATCGTTTTCTTCCTAGTATATATATATAAACCAAAAATCTCAAAAAATTAAATGGGTAGATACTTACCACGAAAAATCCTTAGTATTAAAAATGGTAAAATAAACGAGGTATTATTATTCGAAGTCTTCTGAAGAGAATCAGAGTTTTTCGATAGAAAAATATTGGTTTTCAAAAATTCTACACCTTTCTACGAAAAATTATTTTTTCCATATTAAATACCTGTAAAATTTTGAGGGATAAAATTCTCCGGTATAGAAGAATCCTAGAGTGTAGGAATTCACCACTCGATTTCTTTTTTCTCCTAGAATCTAATTTCAAAATAGTTTTTTTTTTTTAATTTTTATTCAAAACTAAAAAAAATAACAATTATTTTTGATTTTTATTTTATAAATCCAAAATAAAAAGTATATCTAGTTTTTATATTATATATCTTAAACAACAGTTGTTGAAGACTTTTATTTATAAAAGTCATCAATTAAAAGCAGCCAGTGACTTTTACTTGTAAAAGTCATCAATTTAA